TTTTTTTTTAATATAAACCACAACCACGAAGATTTAATGTAATAATAACCTATTAAAGAAAAATGAAAAAACATAAACATTTATTTTTTATTATAAATAAATTTATTCTCACATCTGTAACAGCATCAAATACAAATTGTACATTTTGTGTATCTGTTGCACATGTATGATGACAATAAACTTCTTTTTGTGTTGATTTATTTTTTGCAACAAATTGTGCTTGAATATATTCAGCAGCTGGATCATATTCATTTGGTCCTGTATATTCACGAAAACAAAGTGTTAATGGTGAACGTTTAATTTTTTCTTCGAATAAATCTTTTTTATTTAAAAATAATATTATGCCCGTATAAACAAACCTAAAATAGAATTTGACAAAAAAACAAAATGTTTATTTTTGTACTATGATAATTTTAAACAAAAAAAAAAGTACAAACCATTTGTTATTACAAATACTATCAAATAGACGTAATGATTCATGCATACGATTAGTTGATTCATCTTCATAAAGTACTTGATCATATTCTGAAAGTGCTACACAAAATATAATAGCAGTCACATCTTCAAAACAGTGAATCCTATTAAAAGATAAAACAAAAAAATATCGAAATAGAAATTATATTTAATTTTATAATAATCTAACAAACCATTTCTTTCTTTCAGATCGTTGTCCACCAACATCAAATAATCGAAAATTAAGATTTTTAAATGAAAAATTTATTTCAACAATTCCTGTTGTTTTAACACGTGTTCGTAATATATCTTGTTCATTAGGTAGAAAATCTGGTGAACCAATACGGTATAATTGATCAAGAAAATATTGTGCCGAATCATTTAATTGATATTCATTACTACGTAAAAAACATTGTTGAACACCAGCATCAGCCCATAAACGTTCCATTGATGATAATAATTCACTATTAAATGGTTCAGTATCTTTCATACGTTGTATAACTTCAAGTACACGTTGAGCATCAGCTTCTCGTTCAACTGATGCAAATTGTATATTGAGCATATTCATAGCGCGTATTATAGCGCCTAATGATTGAATTGTATTTGAATAAACAACTGGACGATACTGTTCAAATTCTTCTTTTGTATAACCATGTTGATGAATAATACGCATTTGTTTAACAATTGTTGATTTACCCGATTCACCAGCACCTAAATTTTTTCAAATAATAAATTTCAATCAAAGAAATTTATTTTTATTTATCATACCAAGTAATAAAAGTTTAACATCTTTAGCTGCTCGTTCAGCATCTTCTTTTATTAATCGATCAAGTGCTTTGCTGTACTAAAAATATAATAAATTATATTTAAAAAAAAACAAAACTTAATAATAATAATAAAAAATAAGCATTATTTAATAGTTTTTAGAAACAAAAATTACAAGTAAATCTTGTGTTATGTTAATAAACGAAGGCAAAAACTATCTATCTTACTCATAGTTAACTTCTGCAAGAATAAAAATAAAATATTTATATATTAAATTCAATAAAAATACACATACTTCTTTTTGTCGTTTTTCATCTTGACTTGTTGCGCAACCCATTGTATTGTTAAATAATCAAATTTACTTTGTCTGTTAATGAATTTTATATTTTAATAGAAACAATCATTTGCAAATTGCAATCAATACAATACACAAATAATAATCATTAAACAAGACGAAGACGTCAAGAGAAACATAATGACGCCATATTTTTTTTTTCCTTGTCGATAGAAAAAAGTAATATGATTCAACGTACATCTAGTGACACTGTATAAATGATTTGAAAAAATGCACTTAAATAAAAAAAATAATTGATTTTTTTTATTTAATAAGTATCATTTCGGAATTAGATTAGTATTTGTAATCAAAATTTATTGGTTGTTTAAAATTATCTTATCATTAGTAGTCTCTTAAACCAATTAATTTTATTTCTAATTAACATACATACATATATACATACATATTTTTCTATCATTCTAGTTTTTAAAAAGTGGATTGGATAGTTCATAAGATTGAATGACTTCATCGATACAAAGCCTGCTCTTGGCTATGGTCCAAGAGCGACGCAAGAATAAGCCAGATGAAGGTAAATCTTATCAGAAGATCTTATTTCAATTAATCTAAATTTTTCTTAGATGATGACTATGTACATATTCAACAATTAAATTCTCAATGGCCAAAATTATTTGACACTTATTTTTTATCACCTAAAACACGTCTATCTCAAACAACAACAAATACAACAAGTGATGATGATCTTGTATTTTATGTAACACGTCAAATGGATAACGATTTTCATCATCCATTAGTTTGTTTAATTTTGATTAGTTTTTAAAATGAAGATTTTAATTTATTTGTTTTTTTTAAATTTTTTTAGCATCTTGTAGAAGTTTTTCGTCATCATGATACCAAACGGCTACCAAAATTAGTAAAGAAGAAATAGTATTTTTAATAAATGATTAATAAAATTAATTTAGGCAGCACCAGAATACGATTGGGAAGAAACAACAAATTTAAATCTAGTTCTTCATCAATTTGAATATACAGTTACAACAGCTGTATGCACTAAAACTAGTAATAAACATTTACAAATTCTTAAACGTTTATCAACAGTAAGATAAGATTATTATATTAATGAATACGAGAATAGCTTATTATTATGCTTTTTTTTTTATTTTAGAAAGTCTATGCGAGTCCATCACGTCGAGATATGGAAAGTAAAGGAACAGAAGAAAAAATCACTTATCCAAATATTTATTTTACTGTTGATAATTTTGAAGATGTAAGATTAATTAATAATAAATGCATAAATATCTAGCATATCTTTTTAAATTTAGACCTTTTGTGAAATGATTGTGAATGAAGGTCAGATGGTATGTGTGGAATTAGTTGCAAAAAATCCACTTTTAAATGAACAACGAGTTTTATTTCTTGGTTCAATTAAATATGAATCATTGAAAAAAGTTTATGAAACTCGAGTATAAAATAATATAGATATTAAATATATCTTATTCATAATCTATCTTAGGCAACAACAAGTACTCGAGTTGTTCAACGTATGTCATTAGGTATTTACACAAGACGACGAGTGGAATTCGTTCGAATGCGTGGTCCAAACGTATGTTTGTTTAATACAATTGTTTTTTTTTTTGACGTAAAACTCATCTGAATAACAAGAATTACTATTTTTATTAATATCCATTAGTTGAAATAAATATTTCGAGTCTAAAAAAAAAATCAAAAATTTCTTTCTGTCAAAGTAAACATCAATACAAAAAATAATGATTAACATAAAAATATAACATTTTGTAAAAATATATGAACATATAAAAAATTACTATGTAGAATTTGATTACTTTTTGAAGATGTTAAAACACATGGAAAAGATAGTTCCACTCTTCTGTCTAGGACTCGAAGTAGAAATTCCATGTTTTCTTTTTGTTTATCTCTATGTAAAAGGATGATGAAGAAAGAATTTTTTTTCTTTTTGATAAACACTTATCATCGACTGTAGAACTTTATGCTACATAATTAGTAATACAAAACAAGAATAGATCTAGTTAGCAATAACAATTGCCTATCTTAGACATGAACGAGCCAGTTGTTGTTGGTCCCGATAAGAAGAAACTTAGTTTTTCTCTTGCTTTTGGCAAAACTCGAACCATTTTCCCCACATCGATTTATAATACATTAGTCGGGACAATATGACATTCGACGCAAGTTGTACACAAACATAGAAGATATCATTCAAAATAAAAAAACATAGACTCTGGTCCCAAGACCATCTTATCCATATCTGTAATAGTCTATGTCTATAATGATAATATCTTTGATAATTCTGCGTACTTATTGAAACAAAAAAAATATATTGTTTGATTCATGTGAGAATTATGTAGGAGAATATAGGCTGTGCTAACCAGGGAGCTGTGAGTTCTTCCAGGTCCGGACTCGGGTCCAACCTTTTATTAACATATTCTACTTATGACTGGTGACAGTATTTCAAAATTATATTTGTCCATAAATTGATTTGTCTAGAACAAAAAAACTCCCAATTTTCTTTTTCGTGAGGATTGAATTTCTTAATCATTAGTGAAATAATTTTTTTTAAATAAACACTTAATGATTATTTTATTTTAAAGGGCAAAGGTCATGCAGAAATGGCAGTAAGTCGATGTCGACCAATTCAATCCGGTATTACAACACCTGAATCAATTCCAACAACACCAATGTCAAGTAGTTTTGATGAAGAAAGTGTATGTTGAATATTCTTTTCCCATATGAAAAAAAAGAACTTCATCGTTCTTATTCTATAGTGGAATCAACGTCGTACACTTGATAATATTTCAATTAGTCGATGGATACCACCAACAACACGACAACAACAAATAATATCTAATGTTACAACACCTGAAGTTGAATCAACCGATATTCGACAAGGTTTGTTTTTTGATATTTAAATAAAATAAATAAATATTTAAATTGTTTGTGTTTTTTCTTTAGAATTATCTGATGACACAGGTGGTTTTCTTGGTCGTACACTTAGTCAAGCTATGAACTGGATGCGTGGTTCAAATTCTCGATTGAATCAACCAATACAAACTCTTCCTCTTCAAACATGTCTTACGTATTTAACATTACCTTGTCAGTTTATTGTGAAAGATATACTCGAATCAAATCAAATGCCAATTCTTACATTCTAATAATCAAAAATAATAATTAATAAATATAATAAAATTCAAAATAAATGAATGATTATAAATGTGAACATCGTTGTGTTTTTGTATTCAATTATTTGTCTTCAATTCTTTTTTTTCGTTTTTCGTTGTGTATTGTTGATGTTAGATATTTGTGCAATAGTTTTGTGTATTTATTCAGTCACATATTTTGTTTATATTTTATTTATCAAAAAAAAAAAACACAAACAGTGATTATATATGTTTATATATTGTCTTATTTTTTTTCTCTATATTTTGTCTTTTTATTGACCTTGAGGTTATACACAGACATGTCAATGCTAAATTTCCTTCATCGTCCATTAAAAATTTTGATTGATCCAAGACTATTTATCTGTCGTTATCAATCACAAAGACTATTAGATTTATTAAATAAAAAAGCTGCAATTGAAGTTGAACATAATGATGAATTAGAAAAATTGCCATTACAAAATACAATTGAATGGAATAAAAAAATCAAATTCTATCGTATGCGTAATGAAGAAAAAAATGCATTAAAATTATTTGAAATCGGTATACGAAAATATGAATTTCAACCGGATTATATTACATATATTAGTATACTTGAAATATGTAAAGATATTAAAGATATTGATAGTGGACATTATATACATCGACTTATTAATAAATCATCTGTACGAGACAATAGTCGTATACAAAGTCTTCTAATGGTAAGATTAATTATTAATTTTTTATTCAAAAAGAAAAAAAAAGAAAAAATCCGTTTTTTTCTTATTTATTATAGGAAGTGTATATGAAATGTGGTGATGTGGATAGTGCTCGAGACATGTTTGATTTATTAAAACATCGAACAGTTGTGGAATACAATGCACTAATGACGTAGGTTAATACATAGAAATCAATATTTGAAATCTTCATATTGGAATAAATAATAAAGAAATTTTTATTGAAAAATATCCTATAAAATAAATCACATAAGAGCTTTTTCGAAAGATTTCAAATTTTTTGAAGACGAATTTATTTTCTTCTTATTCCTACATAATCTTTAAAGTTGATTTTAATCTATAATGAAATTCTACAAAAATTACCATACATGAAGATTTTTTAATCGTTCTTAATCAAAAATGATAAAGATTTATAAAACATTTGTTGTTGTTGTTGTTTTGTTTTTATATGTAGAGCTTATAATACTCATCAATATCCTCAACGTACGATAGATCTTTTCTATGAAATGCGTGAAAAAGATAAAATCAAACCAAATAATACATCTTCTATGTTATTTTTTCAAGCATGTGTTAAACTCCAATTATTTGAACAAGGCAAAGCATTACATGAAGAACTTAAACAAAAAACATCAGCTTATCTGAAAAATAAGGTTAGATATTCATTTTTTATCAAGTTTTCTTTACAATTAACGAAAGAAAAATCTTAGCTGTATTTATTATGTGAAGCTAAAATAGACCTACTTTTATTATTAACAAGAAGATTTAGAATACAATTTATTTCCGTAAGTTTGAATAATAACATATTGTCAGTTTTTATCAGATGACAAAGAAAAAATATTAATTATAATCTGTTCTCAGGCTTATAGACAGCCAATGAATGACAGACATCTTAAATACTAGAGCATCTCTGTGAATGACAGATGTGTCTCCTTCGATCTATAGAGAACTCAATTTTCTATCTATAGAACTTTCATGAAGGAAAGTAACATCATACATGTCAAATATAGATTAGAGCTAATGAAAAATGTGTCAATTAATGTTTTCATTTAATAACAACAACAACAACAAGCAAGAAATTTTTAAGATTAAAAAGAAATTAACAATACATCTATTCGAAAGTGAAATTGTGACATACAATATGAAAAGAAATGTATATAATTGCTTCGGATGTTTATACCAGTTCATAAGATTTAAAAAGATTTCCGCTAAGAATATAAGTTCGAGGAAATGAAGAAACGATAATTAGTATAAATTGTCTCATTAATAACTAGAGGTCGATAAGTTCAGTTCTAGTTCAGACATGATGACCTTTTGAAAATGTTCTCTGATCTGCCCAAGCAGTTCAGTTCTTCAGCCTATGCTTTTCGAATAAATTTTTAAGAAAGGCACTTCCGAGCACTAAAAAAACCCATTGTTCTGTTACTGAAATGATGAATAATTTTCCAGACAGTTCAGTGTCTGGAATTGGAAAACAGATTAATTTCTATCAAAGTTACTGTTGAAATAGCTCTTTCATTCATATGATTTGAACTTTGAACTGAGAGCTGGTAGTCGATTTTTAATTCATAACATTGATATCAAGATAAAATTATACTAATTTTATTTTAGGAATTATCAAATCAAATCATAGCTATGTATATTGCATCAGGTGATTATACAATAGCTGAAGAATATTTTAATCAAATTAAAGAACCAAATGTATCGAACTATGTTGCACTTATGAATTATTATAATAAATTAAAAAATTGGGAACGTACTATACAATTATATGATCAAATGAAAATGCAACGTAAAATTCAATCAGATATAGCAACATATTTAGCTGTTTTAACAGCTATTAAAGAAATGAATAATATTGATAAAGCCAAACAAGTTAAAGAAGATATATTAAAACAAAATCTCTGGCAAAATCATGTTGAAATACAAAAATTATTAGAAGAAATTTTAAAGATATCTGATAAATAGTAACATTAAATTTTGTTATTTGTTTTCAAAATAAAATAAAAAATAAAAATAAAAACAATTATTCTTCCGAAGAATAGAAGATAAAATATATCTTGTTTTTGTAGATAATGGATTCTGAACAAATGGATAATGATCAACAATATTTTCAATCATATGATCAATTTCAAGTTCATGAATTAATGTTACGTGATCGTCCACGTGTTAGTGCTTATTATGATGCAATTATGAATAATAAAAAACTATTTGAAAATAAGGTTATTTACTAAAATAAACATAATACATTTTTTGCGATAAATAGATTTTTAACATTAGGTCGTACTTGATGTTGGATCTGGAACAGGTGTATTGAGTATGTTTGCTGCTAAAGCAGGTGCTAAACTTGTTTATGCTGTTGATGCATGTCCAACAATATGTGATTTAGCTGAAGAATTAATTAAATGCAATGGTTTACATGATCGTATACAAGTGACTAATAAACGTGTGGAAGATATTGAAAAATTTGATGAAAATATTGATATTATTATTAGTGAATGGATGGGTATGATTTTATGAGTATTGTAAAATAAAAAATTGATCTCTTGTTTGATTCTGATCAATAGAAAAGTATATTGATTAGATAAATAAATTTCTTTGTTTTTTTTGCCAATTTTTGGATCTTTCAATCTTTTTTTAGAGAATATCTTACGTTTATTAAAATAAGAAATTGTATGTATATGAAGTTAATTTTGAAATATCATATTTTTACTTTTGTCTAAGTCACAAATACTTTACTATGCTTAGGGACTGTCCATAATGAGCGTCCGGGGAAAAGAGTAATGAGGGAACGGTTTTAGCAGATCAATCGCTTTCTTAATAAATGCTAGTAGATTGTAAGTTATTGACCGTGCTGATTCCGAAGATGATTATGAAAAATCCTCATAGATCTTCATATGTTGGTTTTCTATACTAAGAAACCTATCGCCAAAAGTTGTTTTTTTTTGCTTTGTTCAGACTATAGAACGTATCGAATTATCTAGAAAACACTAAGTTTTTCTGCTTCAAATCAGTTGTTTTGTTTTTGCAGAATATATAACCATTTTAGTTCATACCATAGATGCATATTAACATTTCTATGTGAAAGTCTTCATGACGATATTATTTTACTTAAAACTCATGTTAGGAAAATAGAAAAAAATGTTGACTTATAGACAGCTCGATGTATTCTATGATTTGAGAAAATTAAAAATGAGATTTTCAATATGTTTATTATATTGCAAAATCAATTTTCTAGAAAGTCAGTGTATGAAGATCTAAAGGAATTTCTTATGGTCATATTCGGAATAAGCATGGTCGATAAATTACAATCGACTAGCTTTCAGCGAGAAACCGATAGATCAATTGAAAAGGTTTTCTCGTAAATTTCGGTTGTTTGAAAAAGTATCGAAATTTAATGAGAAGAATTCTGTCAAAACTTTAACGATATCTAATTAGAATTATTAGAATTCAATTGAATCGACAATCAAAATTATCATTGTCATCCGTTGATTAGGAATATTACTTTATCTTCACTTTATAAGATAAGTATTATATTGATAAAACACAGAATACAAAGAGATTTACTTTCTGTAATAGGTAAATAGACAAATATCTAGTATAACGACAGAATATGTTAATCAATATTCGTTCTTATAATCAGCATCAATTCGATATGTAATATTATTAAAAAACGAAGCTGATATATGCAAAACAAATTTTCTGTATATTTTATTTATATCTGTGATATTATAAATATTTATGAGCTACTTAGTAAAAAAATAGGTTCTCATACGTTTGTTTTTATTTTGTTATCGTCGACATTTTCATATGAATTATATCCTATTTAATATCAATGATATTCTTTAATTCTTATCGATTTAAACTAAGAGATTAAATTCTATTTGATTTTCGAACTTTTTTTTCGCGATAGAAAAAAAAATCAATATCTTATTGTTTCTTATACCCAAAACTTTTATATTTAGGTTTTTATCTTTTTCATGAAAGTATGCTTGAATCAGTGATATATGCACGTGATCATTTTCTTCATACATCATTACAAAATGATGATAATACATCTGAACAAAATGAATCAATTATTATTTTTCCTTCTCATGCTTATTTAGTTAGTTAATCATAATTGTTTTTTTTTTCAAAATTACTTTTTATATTCAATATATTCATTTATTTCTTTTAGTATTGCGCTCCATTTATTGATCAACATATACGTATTGAATCAAATACAATGTGGAATGATTATTTTGATTTGAATTTTTCACCTATTCGTCAATATATAAAAAATTCTGATCTTAATGAATGTGTTATTGAAACAATAGAACCATCTCAACTTGTTCATGATGCTCAATTAATTCAATCAATTGATCTTCGTACTGTACGAATTAATGAAATTCGTTCAATGCGTTCATTTTGTGAATTTTATATTGATAATACATGTATTATATCAGGTTTTTGTTTTTGGTTTGATTGTTATTTTTCTTCAAATAATAATTCATCTATATTACGTTCAACACGTTTAACAACAAGTCCATATTCATCAAAAACACATTGGAAACAGACACTTGTTTTTTTACCGGAAGATATTTATCCTTTAAAAGATGATATTGTACCAGTTAATATAAAATTAAAACAATCATCTACAAATCGAAGACATTATAATTTAACAATTTCTATTAAAAAAATAAAAGAAAATTTACACAATAATAATAATAATAATAATAATAGTGAAAAAAATCAAGAAGAAAATTTATTAAATACATCGAATACAAAAAGACAACGAAGACGTTCATCAACAATGTCATCAAATAAACGTATGATATCTGAAAATGAAGCCATGGATACAACAAGTGAAAGTAGTTCGAATGATACTGATAATGATAGTAATGAATCAGGTGAACATCCAATTCCATGTTCATGTGATCGTGATAGATGCAAATTAATTAAAACAATTATTGAAAAATATAATGAAGAAAATATCGTAGAATAAAACATTCATTGAATTGTTTTTTTTTTTCTAACATGCTTTTTTTCTGTTAATACATGATTATTAAACTCGTATGTTTTCTATATTTAAATCAAAACGCATGTATCCTATGTTTATATAATCCGTAGAAAAGACTTTAATCAACTTATGAACCATTCCTTTCTTTTTGTTCTAGATAAATGGATGGTCATTCGCGACGATCACGTCATACTAAAGGTTCGAAACAATCTCGAAAACCACATCCAAACGCTCTTCGTCCTATTATATCCGGTGAAATAACTCCTCAATATCCATATCAATCAGAAAGTTCAATAACACGACCACCAGGTAGTATAAATTCCGATCGATTAAATGCTATTATTGATGATATAACATCCGAGGGTGATGATGTACGTACTATACCATCATCAAAAGTTTCAACAAAATCAACATCAAATTTAGTTGAACCAAATTCACCACCTATAAATGATAATCATTTATCACTTTTCACATTACCACCTGCAAATATTTATAATCGAGATCGTACATCATCAACACAAAGACCAGAACGAACAAGAAGAAGTTCAATAAAAGATAAAAAATGTTTTCCTCCTATATCTACAATTGATGATAGAACTGATCCAAATGGTCGGCGAAGATCAATTGGTGAATTTCGTCGACATCAATTAACTGAATGTATGGAATATTATCGACATTGTCTTGAATCAGCTCAAAATTCAAATACAATTAGTATCAATGATGATCCAACAAATAATGATAAACGAAAACAATATGCAACAACACTTTGGTAAGATATAATTAAGGGTCAAAATATAAAACAAAAATTAGTTTGTATGCAAATAAGAGAAACTAATCTCTCATTAAATGAATTTAGATGAGCTTTGAGTACTCATATCGATCTTTTCACTATCAGTTGGACAATGTGGAAAAGTTTTCTTAAAAAAACCTGGACACAGTAGTTTCCAGATGGTAGAAGATATCATAAGAGTTCATCTGGACAGCGTCATCTGAAAGAGCACAAAACTTTGAATACTATGAGGAGCATCACGTTTTCTACGATCTTCCTTTACAGAATTACAAGCATTACAAAAATTTGCAGAGAAAAGTTTTTTTATGTTTTTTGTGATGCTTGTAACAGCGTTGCCACTGTGACGTAGAAGGGATTTTTATAATGCTGTTGCGGCAGCGTGTTTTAGGAAGAAATTTCAAAAATATATGAATCTGCACAGAGTCTCGGTGTTCATATATGTGATACTGTAAGATTTAGCAAATCTGGTCGATTAACATCAGCAGTTCTAATTCAAACTAGTCACGGCCTTGAAAATCGAAACATTTTTTTTAATACCATCGCGGTAGCGACAAGTTTTTTTTTACAGTTCATCGCGGCGCGGCAGATTCTCAGTCACAATGGACATCTATGACTTGTAACTCTGTAAGCAAAGGTCATAAAAAAACTGGCAGCCCGCCATATTGTTCAAAATTCTGTGCTCGTTCAGATGAGACTGTTAATAAAAGAACTCCCGCAAAGTCCAACTATAAAAATTCGAGATAAAGTGTATCTGATAGAGAATTGTATTAGTTATCGAAAGCACTATTTAAAGTTGAGTTAGGAAAATCAATTTCTGTTTGCATATAAACAAATTTTGTCAAACCTCAAAACTTATAAAATATCTTGTATAAAGGTATGACTTAAAAAGATATTTTAATGGAATAAATTCATCTGATGAAAATGGTATCGAATCAGAAAAACGTTCAATTGAACATCAACGCAAAAAATATCTTGATGATTTTTATTCTGAATTTACTCATTGTGATTTTGAACAATCACATCATTATCATGATAATTCGCCTATTCAACGTCGTCATGTAAGTGAATTTCATTTAAATTATTGTCGTGAAATTGATAGATCAATGGAAATATTATTTTTTAAATGGGATCAAATTTTATCATTATTTCCATCTTTTGCTGCACTTGAACAATATGATAAACGTTTTGATTCACGTACAAGAGAAGGACGAATGTTTTATGAAAAATTAACTGTTTATCAAGCTTGGTTTAATTTAAATTCTGAAATCAATCGTTTAATTCTTGTTCTTGGTCGTATTATGGCATGTACACAATGTTATATGTGGCCAAATGTATCATGCTCATCAGCACCTAAACTTAATGATAATGCAACAATAAATGCATCTCGTCCGCCAACACCTTCATCAACATCAAGTATTGACCATAAAGATGTATTTGGTGCATCTCCATCAAATTCATCATATTATTTAATAAATCAAACACCATTTAAACATCAACATTCAACTATATCAAATTCTTCACGTGTGTCAACATCATCATCATTTTCAACAACACCTGACGCAGCAACAACTAAACGACACCATACCATGACATCAGTACCTAGTATGGATAATATTTATCAATATTTAACATCAACGTCACCATTAACAGAATATTATTATAGGTAATAATTAATTTAGAATATCCATGTATATTTATGTGAACTAATTTATATCGCAAATTTATTTTGAATTACTACTGATATACCGCAGTATTCAGAAGAACTGGTCGTAGAGAACAACTGTTAGTGTATCACAATAGAATGACGATCAGAGGATACTCAACTGTTTAAGTATCAAACTACTGCCGACATAACGCATATTGTACCGAATGATCTTTGTTTGATTCGAATCACATGAGAAGACATACGTTAATCGAAAACAATCTATCCGTATTAGTCAAACAAGTGTTCCAGTAGAGACGTAGAACACAAAATTTAGTTTTGGCATAGGTTTTGATGAGCAAAAACTTTACATAAATCAATAAACATCAACAGAGAATAGAAAATCGCAGTGAAATGATTGAGTAGGTGTGAAACTTTTAAACTTGACGTCGACAAGGTTCAACTTGTTCGAAAAAATAAAGTTTGACAATTTTGTACACCTTGAAATTCTATATATGTTTTGACGTATAAAGAAAACTTCTTATGCTTAGGAAGCAAGAGAAAAAGACACCAAGATTTAGTGCTATTTATTCTGCGACACTCATTATTAGAATTCAGTAGAATGACAAATCAAACATTATTTTGATTTTTACATATGAGTTTTGCCATTAGATCTCAGTGACTGATATTATGAGTTAAGACTCCGTCAAAAGTCGATTTTTGCCTAGGTACATTCAATTTCGGGATATATTCATCTAACAAGGATCAAAAATAGCTCATTTGACAAACCGAAATTCTCTGCAGGCCTTCTTGTTTTTTGTTTGAAAGAGCATGTCAAGAGGCAAAACATGACAAAATTCTTCCTTTTTAAAGGAAGCTTAATTCCAAAAACAATGAGCTCTATCATGCTTTGCATCTTGACATGTTCTTTCAAACAATAAAAAAAAATCTATTAAAATACTAGAAAATAAAGATCCGTTATAAGAAACAGTCCCTCAATATTTAAGGCAAAACTTTATTTTCAAATATTAGCTGATTTACTTTGAAATGTCTCTAAAGAAATTTTTCAAATATCTCGTTAATTGATATTTTGTATGAAATTTTATATAAAAATTTTTAGATATATTGATGATCAATTAACACATGCTCGAGTTGAATTAGTAGCAAGTATATTTCGTTCAAAACATGGACCATTATTACAACGTTTACGTTATATATTTCGAAAAGAACAAACAACAAGTGGAAATCTTATAGCAACAACATTTGATTCAGTATATAAAAATCATCCATTATTACCAGCTAATATTGTTCCAAATGATTATTTAATTGATGCTGGACCTGATAAATTAATTGATGAATTTTTAACATTAAATAAACAAATACAACAACAAAAAAACCCAAATCTTGGTAAATAATTTTGATTTATTTTCTTTAAATAGATCAAAAAATAATTTTTTTTGCTTTTTTTTTTTAATTAGCAAATAAAAAGAAAAAACAAAATACAGCAAAATATCCTGATCTTGTCATAAATATTCTTAATCGTTTTGATCAAAATCCAACATTAACATCAAGTACATTTCCACCAGCATCAGCACCAACATTAGTTTTAAAACTTTTATCTCAAGATCGAAGTATAATTAAACGTCAATCATATTTTCTTGATTATCTTGATCCAACATTATTTCCACATTTACCCGGCTCAACTTTATTTCCTGATCCATGTACATTCCTTGATAATTTATCAATGAATTCATTTTCACCATTAACAATCGATGAAAGTATATTAACTGCAAAAATGTTAACAATATGTTATCGTCTTTATGAGAAACATGTTTGGACTGATAGTGGCAAATTTTCTGATATGTTTGAATTATTCCATTTACCATCACTTTATCCACAATATGTTTTTCTTGTTCAAATCCCATTAGATTTAATGCTTGCTTGGCAAAAATATCATCAAGATAGAAAAATGGAACAAACATCAACAACAGGTATAATAATTCAAAACATTTTAGATATTTAAAACAATGATAGAAATATCATTTTCTGTTATATCAAACAACAGCCAAGATCCCATCATTAGGGAGATTATTAATAGCTTCAGATGAATTTTTTGAAGATAGAAAAAAAAAAAAGATAGAAAAGTTGATTTCATCTAACGATGATCACATTTCGCAGAATGATTACTGAATCAAAACTTTCAATTAATTTCCACATTATTTTTTCATTATGAAATTCAATCGAGAGCGAAGCAGTTTTTTCGTAAGGATCAGTGGGCTTAGGGCAGACAGTTAGAAACCTATAGATCAGATCTGGTCGCATTCTTTCATATGTCATAATTATGAAAATCAACTTTTCCAATATATAAAATTTCAAGGCAAAATAACTAAATCGAATAATATGAAGACAAAATTTCATAATTCAATTCGAAGTTATGTTTTGCTCCGTCTGCTATTAATATCACTGATATTTTTTTATAATGTTCTTTTTCTATTCTGCCCCGTAATTTGCATTTCGTACATTTTTTTCCCGACATCAACTGACGAAATCACCTATGTAGCAAAAAATGTCAAAAATCAATAGTTATCTTTTAAATTCCATTACATAAACAACTTTTAAATTTAGAATTTTTATTAAATCAAAATCAAAAACGAGTGCGTCCTACATCACCATTACTTAATAGAACAACAAAGTTTCTATAAAAATTTCAATACCAATACAACCAAATTATGATAAGAATCCTAATAACCAACCTAATCATCAATAACGCATATTTGTTCACGCTATCACTAGTATACCATCGTTAAGGAACTGCAAATCCTGCTGGATCCGGGTTAGAGTCTAGGCCCGGATCCCAATTCTTAACTTTTTTTTTCGTGTCCACAAAAACGTCGACCCGCAGCTCCCTAACCACCGTACTTACAAGAACCGACGGTATACCAACAGTAGATTGCCGATCAGAGGATAGTCAATCATTTAAGTGTCAAACTATTGTCGATTGATCGTCGGTATACTAACGGTTTGAATCACATGGACAGGTATTTGTATGGTGAGATTTCTTTTTTTTTTTATTTATTTATTCAATTTCTTATTGATCACTTTTCTTTTTCATACATAAAAAAAGTTTTTATTTTTCTAGGTGCTCTACTTTTATTAATTGATGAATGTAAAATATTAATTCATAGTGCAACATTAATTCGTCATTATATTAAAATAATGATTACTGATATATTTGGTAAATAATTAATTAGTCTTATAATATGAAAAATAGAAAACAAAAAACGTTTGTTTTTCTTTTTCTTTTTATTTAGAAAAACCTGAATTAAGATTAATTGAAGATGAATTAACACATTTTGATCAAAATATAATTGATACTATGCATGAAATTATTAGTTATATTGAACGTTATATTGAACTTTCTTTACGTTCAAATTTATTTCATAATTGTACTATTCTACTTAAAGAACAATGGAAATCATTAAAACAATATGCTACAATGATGAATATTGAAGAATTACTTGGTGAAAAATTTTTTAAAATGTATTCAAATATAATAAAACATTTTCATGATTATATTGATATATTTCATTCAACAACAGCACCAACAGATACAAATAAAATGGAACATATTAAAAAGAAAATACATCGAAAATATCAAAAAAAATTAACAATAGATATTTTACGTGAAGCCAAAGCTATTTATGATGATTGTGCATTAACAATGAATATTTATTTACAAAAACCTGTTTGTCGAAGATTTTTACTTATTCTTAAAACAGCTCGATTTGAAAGAATTAAATTAGGTATCAAGATTTATATATTTCTTTTGATATTAATTAATATAAGATAGTTTAAAAGATATACAGTTTTATAAAATAGATTTTCTTTGTAAAAATTCTTTTTTTCCTTCCAAAATAAAGTTGTCCAATATTTCGATAACGAAGTATTATAAGTATGAAAGATTTTATAGTTTAATTACCCAGGGTTTCAAGCCTGTATTTTCTCTGATGATTCGCTCTATTTATGAGAATTAGTTCATTCAATACAGTTCGACGAGTTACATCTGATTCGTGGTGAGATTTTTAGAAAAATATATCTTTTGTTGATCGTACGACTAATAGAAAATATATCTTATATTTCAAAGAAATGATTTTATTACTTATCATATTAATATTTAATTTTAGTTACCGAACCTCATCTTCATCATCATCACCATCATCATACACATACGAAACATGACAAAGATGCATCACCATCATCTCAATGTCTTTTATTTGCTCCAGCTGAATATTTTGAAGATAATGCAACAAAATTTCAATTACTTCGAACATTATCATCATCTTTTCGTATAAATACGAATACAAATTCATCTGGTGACTCAAATGATGAACAATCACCTCAAACTCAACAACAATCACCAACTTCATCTCAACAACCAACGAATTCTACAATTGAAATGTCTCCTCCATTAGTCTATGTACTTTGTGTACCAATATCAAATGAACTTGAATCAGAATGGCGTGGAGTAACACATACAATATCAACAAATAAAAATTTAACATCAATTTTACCATTGAATACAAATTGGAAAACAACAACAATATTTTTATTAACACAACAAACAAATAATCTTGAAAAATTTGAAGAATCATTTAAAGAACGTTTATCAAAAACAAATGTTCAACAAAATGATTTATATAATTTTGATACAAAAACAGGACAAATATTACAAAAACGTTCATGTTTTGAAAAAGTTGATCGTGCTATGTGTGATTTAGCTCATGCAATAATAAGTTTAAGTAATTGTGTTGTAAATAATGTTGAACAATTTGAAAAAATCATTGAGACAATTGATAATCAAACTTCACATGAAAGTGATATTGAACAATCGGAAAAAATTGATACACGAACATATGTTGTAAGTTATATTTAAAAAAAAAATAGTGTATAAATTTTTCTTTTGTCTCTAATTGTCTTATTTTCAAATGATGAATAACCAACATGGAAGTTTGCTTTATAGAACTCGAGTTGTTCAAAACATGAATATAAATGTCACAGTGATTTTTTATATTAGAACTAGGATTTTGTACTAGGAATGACTCAAATCCTCTGGCGAGATTTTTGAAGAAAAAAAAAAAGAAGATTTTTTGAAAGTTTTGCTAGGAGGGTTAAGCTAAGAAAAGTATAAATCGATATGAAAGTAACATCTATCGAGCTGTTCTAAATCCTTTGCTGAGAATATTGACATAACGCTTATGAATAGAACTTTTTTTTTTTCTCATCTGAATTATTCTTCCTTGTCATCAAATATTTATCACGTATTCGAGATTTTTATAATGATATGATAGAAAAACACAAAACAAGAAAAAGTGTCAAATGCGATAAAAGTAAAATATTAATAAACTAATAATAAAAAGTTATTAGAAAAGAATAATTGAAACATTATTCTTTTGGTTCGATAATTCTGTTGTCAATGATCATATATCAAGTTGTGTGTATGTATAATGTGTAAGTGTCAATCATTACTATATTGAGAGATAAGGGTGTAGGTGATGTCCTTCATTTTATTCACACTAATAACCATCGATCCTACTGTTATGTTAATCGTAAATAATTTCGAATAAAAAGAAAAATGAATCGTGATAATTTTTTGTTGATTGACAGTTTTGTAAATGTTTGTTTTGAATCGTCTTGTAAGTTTTTTTTGTTTTAAATTATTCTATTCTTTTTTTTTTCGACTCAATGAAATTGATTTATCAATACTATAGATTATAATAATAATTCTATTATTTGTTATTTCGAAAACTTTTAACGTTTTTTGATTCATTCTTTTATAGAAATAATTTGAATTTTCAAGTTTTTAATATCGAAAATGTAACACAGGAAAAAAAAATGTATGTTTTTATTATAAATGATTGTATATTCAAAGTTCAAAATTTATTCATGTTATGATCAATTGAGCTGTCGAAATATAATCTTGTTTTCGGTTACGTCTTATAAATTTTGCTTTGATTGATATAATTGATAACATCATTCGTTAAGATTCATAGAAAATTTAACTACAGTTTTAGTTTCTTGTCAAAAAAACATTTTTTTTTCTTGTATGTCATATTTCATGTTTCAATATTTGAATTTTGTTCTTATTTAGCATACTGAAGAACTTGCATTTTCATTTGGTATGGATATCATACGAGAAACAAGTTATTATGCAACACAATTAGAAACTAATACATTAAAAACTCAAGCTGAACGGCAACTTGCATTTGCTAATCTATGGTTAAAATTTGTTCGTAAGAAAAAAACAACAACAAGTATGTCAAAATATCCTACAACAATACCTATGTGGTTATTACCTGGTATACATTTTCTTCGATATATATGTTCATTACATTTTACAAATCATATTAATGATGAAGTTTTTAATAAATTTTATGAAAATATGCAACAAACAATTAATTGTTTACATAATCCAAATGTTAATTATGAACTAAAACCAATAAGCCCAAATACTCGACCAAGAAAATTATCTAAACCACTTTCAACATCATCAGTAAGAAAAAATTCTTATGATAAACATCAGAAAAAAAAATATAAATTAACAAAAATTCAACAACTTGTAATTATGGATAGAAAAATAGATCGACAACGTTTTAAAGATGGTCTTATTGGTAAAATAAAATCCGATGATGGACATCCAATTCCAATGCCATCAATATCAAAACGAATGGAACAAGATTTAGCATATTTAAAAATACGAAATTTTCATAAATTAAATCTTCTTTCACGTGGACAATATGCAACAAGTAAGGTTTTATAATGATTTCATATTTTTTCTAGTGATCTATAAGTAGTTGTAGAGCCTATCGAGAATCCTTAGAACATGGTCAAGAAAATCATTCTTTTTATCTCATTCAATTCCTTGCAGAAAACTAAGATTATGAATTTTTTTTCACTTTCAGGGTCATATCTGATGGAGTTATAAGTTTAACAACAAGAGGGAAGGTCTGAGAAGTCGTAAAAAAAAATATGCTGTTCGATATCTTCCAGTATTTTACCTTTAGCTCTGTCGTTTTTCATCCATTTTTTTTTCGTTCAACATCTCATTCAAAAGAGCTCATCAAATTGAACAAAGAAGTCTCTTATGAGACTTCCAAAAAGTGGAGTCTTCATAGAAAAAAAAAAGCTTTCCAAAAAAAACTCAGGTTTTTTTCGGACGCAGTTTTTTTTTGATTGCAAATCATATTTCTAGGGTATGTAGGTCAAATAGGAAACTCTAGTACAGTGCATCGTGTAGAGAATTTTGTGCTCTACAAAATCCATATAAAAAAATTCAGAAAAACAATATCACTTTAGGTCTTAATTTGAAAGACAAAGGAGAGAAAAAGTATAGGACAAGCCAAAAAAACTCGATCATTTAACCATTAAACATTCATTTTCAACCAAAATCCATGTCATATTCGGCATTAGCGTCAAAAACTGAGTCAGGCACCATAGGTTTCGTTAAAACTAATTTTCTGACAAAATTTGCCTGAGGAGAACTGCAGACAAAAAAATTTATAAAAAGAAGCTGAGGGGAAGTAGGATGGATTTTGTTAGAAAATTATTTTTAACGAAATCTATGTTGTCTAACTCAGTTTTTGATGTTGATGCCGAATATGACATGGATTTTGCTTGGAAAAGAATGTTTAATGGTGAAACGATAGGTTTTTTTTTGGCCTGTCCCATACTTTTTCTCTCCTTTGTCTTTCAAATAGCCACCTGAAGTGATAAATTTTTTCTCAAATTTTTATATGAATCTTGTAGAGCGCAGAATTCTCTACAAGATACACTATACTAGATTTTCCTATTCGACTTCTATAGCCTTGAAATATAGTTTGCAATCAAAAAAACTGTGTCTGAAAAAAACCTGAGTTTGTTTGGAAAGCTTATTTTTTCTCTACGAAGACTTCACTTTTTAGAAGTCTCATAAGAGACTTTTTTGTTCAGTTTGATGAGCTCTTTCGAATGAGACGTTGAACGAAAAAAAAATGGATGAAAAATTATGGAGTTAAAGGCGAAATATTGGAAGGTATCGAAAGGCATGTTTCTCTTGAAAACAATAATATTCACATTAGAATCGCCACATTTTGTAGACATAATTAAAAAGATTAGAATTGCACTAATCTTCTCTCAAAATACAGATAAATCATGTAGAAAAAAATTCAAATAAAAAAATCTGTTTTTTTTTTGTTTTTTTAGCTTATAAATGTACTGTTGAACCCAATGAAGTTCTTTGTTATAAACAATATAAAATTCAACATAATGATGCAAATGCTATTGCTACAGTTCTCGAACAATTAGTACCACTTATGCATATAAGTCATGAAAATTTAATAAAATATCGTGGCATTGCTCTTGAACATGATCATATATTATTTTTTATGGAATATTGTAGTCATGGTACAATAGCACAACTTTTACTTGGTACATCTCCATTATCATCATCACATACAGATGCACGTCGTGCATCAAGTTCATTAGTATGTTCATTAAATGATACATCATCTGTTGATAAAGGTATTATACAAACAACAGCTGGTTTTGCTTTTTTTGAAGAATTTCTTGTGCAACGTTATTTAAGACAATTATTATCAGCATTATCATTTTTACATGATAAAGAAATCATACATCGTGATCTACGTAATGTTAATATATTTTTAACAGATTCAACCAAACAATCAATTAAATTAGGTGATGTTAATCTTGTTTATGATTTTAAATTTATGAAAAAACAATCATCATTACTTGATATGGAAGCTATTGCTAATATACGTGAATCAATTGTTTTTTATGCACCTGAAACAATAACACAAAATGAAACAACAGTTAAATCTGATATATGGTCATTAGGTTGTACACTTGTTCATATGTTAACTGGTCGTATACCATGGAGTAATCCATCAATAGCATCAAGTGCTTATTATTGGAAAGTTATTAATTGGGTTGCAAATGGTGTACAACCAACAATTCCAACAGATTTAAGTTTATCAAATGAATGTATTAATTTTCTTGAACAATGTTTTCGACATGATCCTAATCTACGTCCATCATCACAAGAACTTCTTGAACATCCATTTGTTAAAGAAAAATAAACGATATATTTTGATTTTTTTTCTTTTGATTTGTATATTGTTAGATCTTATTTCTTATTTTTTTTCTTCTTCCTGCTTTAGAATATGCAAAAAACAGAAAAAAAAATAACGAGAATTTCTTTCATTCATAATATTCTTAAAGTTTTGTTTAAGTTTACTTATATGATTATATGTTTCAATGTTGAATATGTGTTTAAAAAAATATGACGATTGAAAAAATATCTCTAGTAAATAATTATCGAAAATTTTATTCTTGAAATGAAATAAATATTTATCAAAATTATTTCTTTCGTACTACTCGAGAATTCTATATAAATAATATCTTTGTCATGTAAGACATTGTTTATGTTAAGTCTGGCCATTTTTCATTATTAATTTTACACCTACGAAGGAACTACTTGAACTGTAATTCGTCGTTTGAGCTCATATTGAGCTCACAAGGAAGTCTCAGTAAGACTAAAAGGGTTAAAAGAGTTCGCGCCCACGAGTCTCTGGAACTGAGTTTCAGTTTAATGATAGTCTATTTATGGCCTCCAAAAAAATCTTTAAGGCTTCGTTATTGAAAGAAAAACATAGTTCGGAGTGATTTCAAATTAAAGTCAACACCTATGTGGAATTTTCAAATTCACTTTCATTTCTTTGTTGTATGAGCATTTTAATAAACATAGTGTTGAAATAAGCGTAAAAAAAAGTGACCTTACGACAAAAAAATATCATTTTTGTCAACATAGAAATCAACTACAAAATATTGTGTGGGAGAAGTTTGAATTTTTTTGACGAAAAATCATATTTTGAGAAAAACTTTAAGTTTCTTAGAAACCATGATAATCCAGCCAATAAATCTAATAAAATCTCGTTGTCTGATAAAAAGCTATAAGTATTCTGAAAGAGATAATTTCGGCTTATGTTCCTATTCTAAAAATTCAATTTTAATTTTTTTTTTTTCGAGAAATTGGGTCTCCTAATGGAAGAACTCAAATCTCTCATTTACAACAACTACATCAGTGAAAAATTTATTCTCCTACTATTTATTTTTCCACATAGGATATCTTCTTATATTATAACAAGTTTATTTTCAACACAATTTGTAATTACAGAGTACCAAGTGCATAAACTATAATTAATAGAACCAAAAATATCAAGAAAAATTATATAACAAATAAAAAATCTTTTTCTAGCTATATAAATATACAAAAATTTTCTTTGTTATTATGAACAACATGACGCTTTTTTATTTTGTATATAATATACAAAAACAATCAATATTCTCTAATTGACATAGCAAAAGGGAGAAAATTTGTATGATCAGTGTACATACTGATCTCCCCAAGACATTGAAGATCAAATTACAAGTTCATACTTATCATTTTATTAATTTAATGTAATCAATGACATAATCAATTTTATTTATTGAAAAGATCAAAAAAATAATAAATATATATGTATATATACATTCCGTAAAAAATATATCCTATTATCAACGATATGTTGTACTTTTCACAAGCGAAAGAAACAAACTGATTATATATATAAAGAAAACACTTTAAACAGATTCAAATTCTTTTTGCCATTGTGTATATTTATCTTTAAATGCTCGTGCTGATGGTTTTGTTGTTGATAAAACTTTTTCAATATCAGCTGTTGTTATTGAATCAAGTTGAATACATTTACCTAATTCAGCATCTAAAATGAATTTAAAACCATATATATACTTTTTTCTTTTTATTACATTCAACAAAAATTTTCATACCATCATGAAGAGTTTCAAGTATATGAAATACTTTTCTTAATGGATTCATAGCTGCTTCTTTACATACAAGTTTAATATCCGCACCTGAATAACCTTCTGTGTTCTAGAATATTAAAAGAAAAAAAAAAACACACATAATTAAATTTCTTAAATATAAATAAATTTTCTAATAAAACGAACATTGCTTAATCGTTCATAATCTAGATCAGAATATAACACAAGACCATTTTTGTCATGAATAACAGTTGGTGGTAAAAGTTGTTGAAACATAGCTTTTCGAGCTTCTTTTGTTGGTAAATCTACTAGAACACGTTTTTCTAAACGTCTTAACATTGCATGATCAAGTTCCCTTAAACAAAACAAAAAAAAATCTTCAATAAAAATAAAAATAAAGAAAAAAACCACTGAATTATTTAGGACAAAAAAAAAACTCTTCTCACCAAGGTAAATTAGATGCAGCAAGAAGAAAAACAAGATCATCAGTTTTAGCTAATCCGTCAAGTTGAACAAGTAATTCTGTTTTCATTCGTCGACTACCTTCATGTTCACTATCAAATAAATTAATTAAAAATTTTCAAGTAGAAATAACAAAAACCATAATCATATATATTCATCGTTTACATACGAGCCTGCATTACCACCACTCCCACGTTGACTCATTATTGCATCGAGTTCATCCAAAAAAATTGTTGATGGTGCATGAAACCGTGCTAATTCAAATAAAACACGTACAAGTTTTTCTGAGTCACCACGCCATTTACTAACTATAGTTGAGGCTGATATATTAAAAAATGTTGTTTTACATTCTGTTGCTACAGCTTTAGCTAATAAGGTTTTTCCTGTGCCAGGTGGACCGTATAAAAGTAAAGCTTTCCATGGTGATAATATACCAGTAAATAATTGTGGATACTAATATAATAATAGAATACATTCGTTTATTTTCTTTTTCTTACTTTACTATTTATTCATACTCGTATTGGATAAACAACGGCTTCTTTTACTGTACGTTTAGCTGCATCAAGTCCAATAATAGAATCCCAACATACACTTGGATCATGAAGATAGATATCCTCGAAACAAAAAACCAAACAAATATTTGAGTTTTGTTATTATGTTTCTATCAAAATTTTTTGCATTTCTATTTATATAAATTGAGCAATAATGTAGAAAATTTTGTATTATTTCGTTTTGATATGTCGAATTATTACAATTTTTATCCTTTAATATGAATGCTTTTTTTCATAATTAATATACGACTTGTTTTCATTGGTCTATCTGCTTATAGATTCCAAGCAGATCATTGTGTCGATTGTGTGACATGCCTCTGGGGAAAATTCTGTTTTGACCTTAATACTCGTATACTCTTCGTTTTTTTTTTGTTTCTCTAATTACATCCTCTTCAATTGTGAATAAAAAAAAAAGAGAAACATGTTCATAATCTCAAAAGAAACTATTCTAATTAAATATAATAAATCTTCTTTTTTTATTCTTTTTTTTTTTTCTATCTCTATAAATAAGAAATCATATATTAGCGTCATCCTTGGTTGCGTTCATACAAAAAAGAAGAAGAAGAAAAAAAAAAGAAGCTTTTGCCTTTAAGGTGTGAACAACTGGCAAACAATAAAACACATCTCGTTTTTCTTTCTTTTCCATACACGTCATTCATCCGAACGCGGAAAATGAAGAGGAAAAAAAGAACTGACAAATACGCTCGTTCGTTGGATGTAAACGGCCATAAATAAAAAAAGAAAAGAATTCGGAGAAAGAGAAAAAAGAGAAAGAGAGAGAGAGAGAGAAAAAACGAGAGAAAAAAATAGACGTCCGATTAGGGGTAACATATAGTCATTCTGTTCTCTTCTTCTTTTCTCGTCCGTCGAAAGCGCTCATATCCTAACCAAACTCGACGCGGCATGTTTGCCCTCTAGTTTACGTTCTTGTATATTGTACGACAACAATAACAACAGCCGCAAAATCATCAGAAAAAAAACAGAAAGAAAAGAAGTAAGCAAGAAGCATGTATTGGTTATCGAGATTTTCCTTCATTGATGTCGAGACATGTGTTCGATTAATTTGTTAGTTTATAAAAGAATTGTATAAAAATAATAAAAAGAAAAATAAAGAAAAAAACAAACAAGAAAATAATGAAAAAAAAAAAAAAAACAAAATTAACTTCAAAATATATCCTCTTTATATATTCTAGTTAAAATAATGACAAGCAAACGTGATATATTTGTTAAAACAATAGCAACACGTCGTAGTGTCTATTCACAAGATCGTCTTGAACAAATTTTAAGTGAATCAATTCAAGCTAAAGAAAAAGAACCAGGTGATCGTACAGCTAAAGATTATCGTCGTATAAAACGTTTTGATATTGTTGATGTACAAGGAAAACAACGACTTGTAGCTGCACGTACAGATAATGATGAGAAAGATATAAGATTTTTTGTATCAATTGAAGAAATGTATGATATTATTGATTATACACATAAAAAAATGAATCATGGTGGTCGTGATCGTTTATGGCCAATATTATCAAAACAATATGCAAATATTCCACGTGAAGTTATACAAACATATTTAAAAATGTGTGATTATTGTTGTAAAAGACGAAAACGTATTAATACAGATAATAATAATGATAATATTAATCATAATGATACAAATGATTTAATGGATACAAGTTTAACAAATATAATACATGATATTCCAACATTACAACAAACAAATATTATTAAACATGAACAACAGCAACAACATATTGTTACACAATCATCACCTATTGTTTTACACAATAATACAAATACTAATCTTCATCAACAACAACCAGTAGAGAATATTTTTGATGGAAGTAAGTCAAGAAAAAAAAATGTATATAAATATAATGAAATGTTGAATCCAGGTTTCCTTTTCCGGAGAGATATTCTTTTTTGAAAGTGCATATTTATGTATATATATAATATGTAGTGTAATTATTATAAATTCCTCTGGGACCTGTGAGAGCTTCGAGGAAGTACTGCTTTCCTTCACCGCTATGCTCATTAGAAACAAAGTCTCTATTGAATATTACTAAATTTTCAATTGTTTTTATTAAATTCTTAAATAAAAATATCTATAAAATTTAATTTCTATAATTATTTTTAGCAAATACACATGTCATGAATCGTTTATGTGAATATGATTTAATTGATTTACAAAATGCCCACGATGGTGATTATGGTTTTGTTCTTGTTTATCAAGATTATTTAACAAAATTTACACAATTACGTCCATTAAAAACTAAATCATCTATTGAATTAGGTACAACATTAATGGATATTTTTTGTATATTTGGTCCACCACTTGTTTTACAATCTAGTGCAGATCTTCATATTGAAAATTCTGCAATACAACAAACACTTGAAGCTGTATGGCCAGGTAAGTAATTTCTTTCAAAGAAAATACAAAAAACATCAATTAATTATTGTTTATTTTTATTCTTTTTTTTTTTTTTTTATAAAGGTATTCGTCTTTATCAAGATGATTCTTCTCAATGGCGTGAAACAGCTAAACAACGTAATGAACAAATTCGTTCAATGATAGCAGCATGGATGTTTGTTAATAATAATCCACGTTGGTCATATGGATTAAAATTTGTTCAATTAACATTAAATTCCAATATAAATAATGAATTAAAACGATCACCATATGAAGCATTATTTAAAATGTTACCAGTTTTAAGACCAGCAACAGTTACATTATCATCTTCAACAACAGATATATCATTACAACAACAACAACAGCAGCAACATGTTCAACAACAACAACATCATCATCATCATTCCCAATTACTTCAACCAACAGCAGCAGTTGTACCACCTTCATCACATTCACCGTCAGGTAGTGCTAATGAAGGTGATTTTGTTACACCAAATGTTAATATTTTACCATCAACAATCTCGACATCAGATCGGATTAAAACCGAAATGTAAAAAAGAAACAAAAAGACAAGACTTTGTGTAAAATAAACAAACAATTTTCATGATTATTATTTTTTGTTGTTGTTGTTGTTGTTTTTTTTTTGTTTGTGTTGTCTCCAAGAGTTTGAAGAATGATGATGAGAACGAAACAAAAGAAGACCAAAAAAAACGGTATATACATATCTATATATATATATATTTTTTTTTGTTCCATGCACAATCTTTTTTTCTCTTGTGGTTTTTTCTTCTTACGCAGTGGTGTTTCTCTCTCTCTCTCTGTTTTTTGTGTTTCTTATTTTGGACACGCGATATGTGCGTAAAAACTTCGCCGTTTTTTTTCTTTTTGTTTTGTTATTATTATTTTTTTTTTGTGTTTCGTGCTTGTAACTATACTAGATTGGACAGACAAATGATGAGTACGAGAGATATGTGATGAAATATGAGACAAAGATGAAACAGAAAGTTTTTTTTTTTCTTTTTTTTTTATAAAAAAACAAGGAAAAAAGTAATTTATCTTGTTTGACTTACTCGACTAATTACTTGAGCTAATTCACGCCATTCAGAACTGTAACCAATATAACCACCTAATGGTTTTAATAGACGATCCTGGATAAATAAAAAAATAAAATGATTGTATATCTTTTCTTAAGAGTAATTTTAAAAAATATTTATACAGTTGGATCAATACTGTCTGCAACATTTACACGCATTGTATCATTGAGAATAGGACGTGAATCGACTATTGTATTCTAGAAATTAATATAATTGTATTTTATCAAATTTGAGTTTTTAATTGTTAAAAATTCAGTGTTTATAAAAGAAAATATTTCAAATATTTAATTTCTTTTTTCGTGTAAGAAATTCAGGTACTTAGTTCTTTTTTTCCGTATTGTTGAGGAACAAGATGTCCTTGTCAAAAAAAAGAAATAAGCTATTATTAATCAGTGTGACGGAAGTAAGTGGGCAGTCCTTTTGTTTTCTTTAAAATTTTTAAGACAGGAAAGAAACGTAAGTAGTCTTAATGTTCCTCTCACAGTAATCCGACTTTTTAGAATTAGCTCAAAATAAACTATCATGAAAATCTTACGCATGAATTCTTAACAAGTATATAAATAAGTTTAAATCTATCTAATTACTTTTTTCTTATTTCCATTTTGTTGTTGTTGTTGTTGTTGTTGTTCATTTGCTGATGATTTAACTGGTAAAACTTTCATAAATGAAAGATTCATTTCTTCAAGTGAATTCGTTGAATGATTATTACTATTATTTACTGATGGTTGCTAGACAAGAAAAATAAAACAAACGTGTATTTTTTTTTTATTTCAAAAATATCTATTCACTGTAGAACTTTGTCGTTGTAAGCCTGATGGTGGTGTTGAATGTGCACTGAATTTATCGGAATTTGATTGATTAACTCTACCAGTACTTGCATTTCGTCGAAGAGCTTCACCAGCCGATGGTAAACGATTCAAAGGACTAGTAGAAGATTCTGTACCATTACTAATAATACGAGGTATTGGTGGTATTTGTGGACGACGATTAGATGGTTGCGCACTAGAAGATTTTCATTTCGAAAAAAAAAAGAAACTATGCAAGGAACAAGAGACATGTCTTACTTAGATATTTTTGAGGATATTTTATTCATAAATGCTGCAGCTAAATATTTGAAAAGAAAATTAAGTATAAAAATTAATGGTTACATTTGTGATAGCGAAAAAAAAAGAATGTTTTTCTTTGATACAAGAACTTTTCGAAATATCCGATCGGTTTCTTTTTTCTTTGAGATTGATAGTTTGTCTGTATTACAAACCCTATTAAGCTTTGAATTTTTCTACATTGAAAATATGTAAAAATATCAATATCATTCTTTTACAAAAAGAAATAATTGATTTCTTTTGTTCAAAAAACAATTGTACGTCATTACAAAGATAAGTTTGTAAAACGAAAAAGAAAAAAATTAATATTTCACTTTTTTTTTTTATCAAACATAAATCTTGATGAGATGAAATTAAATGAGTTTTCTTCTTCGCTTATGGCTATTCACTGTGCCGATGAAAAACACTCACACCCTTGGAAATTATCAAGAGGTATGTTATTAAATATATTTTAATATATCGAAGAATAATGTTTTGAACATTTTCATTGTTCATCATATGAAGTAGATGTTTTTCCATTAACAGTTGATCGAAAAGTAATTTGAAAAACAACAAGTTCATTCATTTTTCTGCCTATTAATCGAGTCTGCAAAAATTAGAATCAAAATTTCTCTAGGATTTGTGCTTTAGAAATTATGAGTTAATTGTTAAGAGACCCATGAATTAAATTTGTACAAACTTCCGCATGTTAAAAATTACTCAAAGTAGAAGCAAATGTTATTTCAAATACAGCAGATGGAAGAATAAACATTTTTCTATTACATAGTATACTAATGATTTGTTTACTGTATGTCATTTGTCAACAGTGAGTATTTTATTAAAGTACGTCATGCCAATTTAATTAATTTTCTCGATTTCTATAAAAAGCAGACTTGTAAAGTGAGTTCAGTCGTTTGTGAATGATTATTATATATCATTTTGTAGAGAGCAATTCCGCTTTCAATTCTATGCAAAAACAAAACGAACATAAGCAGTAAAGGAGATTATTAATACAAAAAATGTCAGTTTTCAACCTATATTATTATTATTCTAAACCAATATTTTCAAACGTCTGTTGTCTTCTTTAAGAGACTGAAAGATGAATGAATATTTTGTCAAATAACTTTACAATAACTTATTACTGTGTTTTAAATAGAAGAAAAATATTTCTGAAAGCTTGAGTCTTTTACTTGCTAAATTGTACGAGAAAGAAAATGAAACGTAACGAGTGCATCAGAATAAATGTCCGTCTACGTATTTTCTCAATAACGTCATGCCTTAATCTTTGTTTTTAACGAGATTCACAATTTAGTTTTGCTACAAAATATTAAGCAAAAAACAAAATTCGATAAATAATATTGCAAGACTTCAATTTGGCCAACCCTCACAAATTAAAAAAAAACCGATTTGTTTAAGTCTAATTGTTGGAGTTTTAAACTAATGAACAAAAAAAAAGATAGTAGTCTTGCAGCACTTGGATTTTCTAAACTTTACAAGAAAAACGATTTTGAGATTCTAAAAATAGATTTGCATTAATTGAAGAAGAAAAAATGAGTCCATATAACGCCACTTTATTTCAATTTCAAGAGAAATGAATAATGCATCAGATTGTAATGCCGGAATTTGAATAGGCGTCTTTATTCGAGTGCATTACGCAGAACAAGCAAAATTTTACGCGTCTTTAGTTCAGTTCTAATGAAGTAACATTTGCGTCACAGAAAAAAAACTTGATTGAAACAAACTTTAATGTATATCACGAGAAAAAAAGCACTTAGTTATACTGCTAAGCGTGCTCGATCATGTTGTTATATTTATACAAAGCTACAAAAAAAAAACAATACTAAAATGTTTTGAGAAAAGCAACTTTTGAAAATTGGATATATTAGAGCGTCGTAGTATTATTTATCTAATATATCTGCTTAATATTTTGTGGAAAAACTTGTGATACATTCTTGTAACCGGTGATTGGAAAGTTTTTAGATAAAATGTTTGTTCACTTTTCACTCACTAGAAAGTATTAAAGTCTATCAGTTAGAACCAAAATTTTTGTGCTTTTTTGAATATGGGTTTAGAAATTTTGTGTCTATTTTGGTTGAAGAGTAGTGAGAAACTTCTTAAAACATTTGAAAAATTATTTTTTAATGATGAGCCAAGATGTTTTTGTTTATTCTATAAGTTCTTTTTGCAAAACATCCTAAAACTTATCGAAGTCAATCGTTTTATAGAGTAAACACTTCTCTACAAAATATGATATTGAACTAAGCTATAGCTTTTACCCAAGTTTTTCTAGAACTTCTTTCAAAGTAAAATGGTTCTTGATTTTTCAAAAATGAGTATTTAGGAAAAAGAAAAACTAAAATACCTTATCGAACAACAAAAAACTTTGAAATAGCGTAGTTTGTAGAGTAGCTTCTGATCTACAAGCTGATATATAAATAAAGATTCCAACTTTTACTTTCGAACCACAATAGTGAAAATACAAAAATTTTCTATCCAAATTAATTTTTTAGTCCTTTCAAAAGAATATTTCACTATCCTTGTACACTATCTGCCGATTGAACTGCTCGAATTGATACCCCTCGTTTGAGCTCATATTGGATTCACAATGAGGTCTCGATAAGACTAGAAAAATTCTCAAAGGGTCCGTGTTCATGGGCCTCTGGGACTGAGTGATAACCGTTTTACTAAAACTTTAGATATTTACCGAAAAAATCAAATAACGAAATTGTGCTCATAGATAGGTCTTATGAGTTCTGGAATATTCTCAAAATTTTAGACGGAAGAAATGTTCTTTTGTCAAGATATTGAATTTTCAACAAATGATCGTTTGTCACAAAAACTGAATTTACTTTAAAATTCAATATCTCGACAAAGGAATATAGTTTTCGGCTAAAAATTTCAAGATACTCCTAGAGTCAGGACAACTGTCTATGGATTAAATTTCACACCGAAATTCTGTTATTTGATTTTTTGATAAATACCTAAATCCGAATCGAAAATTCAGTAAAGCGGTCATAACTCGTCCCCATAGGCACGAATGCTTTTAAATTTTTTCTTGTCTTACCGAGACCTCCTTGTGATAAATATCAATATTCTAACATAATTCATAAAACCAATGTTACCAAATATTTGAAATATTTCCTCATAAAATCAAATTAAAACTAAATAACAACTTACTCGATGGTCCATGTTTTTTCGTTAATTTTGGATATCGATTAAATTTAACATAAAAATAAGATCTAATAATAAAAGTTTAACAAAAAAAAAAATTCTCTTTTGTTTGTTTTTTAATAACTAACTCATATTCTTGAATAATTGTATATAAGTCAATATTATCACAAACATCATATTTACTAACATCAAGATTTGTTTCACATTCTAATTGTCTTGCAGATTCAATATAACTTAAATTAATAAAAAAAAAATTAATTTTCAAAATACAAATAAAATAAAATAAAATGAAATTTACCCTTCATCAACAAGCCATTGAAGAATAAGTATAATTAAATTTTTCTTCCGATTTTCAATTCTTTGATCATCCTAAATCATATTTAATTATTAAAACATTTTTATTTCTCTCTCTCTATTTATTTCTCTTACAGCTTCACGTGCTGCATGTGTTGTTTTAATTATTTGATAATTAAGATTTGCTTCAGCCATTAAATACTTAATCTATATTTCATCTCAAAAATAAAACAGAACTCATCGAACATGAATTATGATCAACTGTTGCTAAGTAATAGACATGTTTGTTGGTCGATAGATGTCACACTACTTATTGTGTATGTATATGTATATATAGAAACACATTCATCCATTTCGGTCAAATTTGGATTCCATAGGAACTAATATTATATCATTGGTATTTTTCTTTTTTTAGATATATACGAAAAGCAAACATCAACAAAAAAAAATGCGTGGAGATTTAAATGTATGAAAGTTTAATTGATTTTTATTCTTAATTAATTATTCTTTGAAAATATATTTAGGCAGCACTCAATCCAATTCCACTTTATAAACAAGGTGTTGAAGAAGAAAAATCTGAACTTGCTCGACTAGTAAGTAAAAAAAAAAAAAACAAATAAAATTTGTTATAATAAATAATTTTTAGTCTTCTTTTGC